GAGTTTAGTGTTTAGGAGTTGGGGTTTAGGGCTTTAGGGTTTGGGGTTTAGAGGTTAAAATTTTTAGTGTTTAGGGTTTAAGGGTTTCGAGGTTTAGGGTTTAGGGTTTGGTTTTTAGGGGTTTAGGGTTTGGGGTTTGGGGTTGAGGGGTTTAGGGTTGGGTTCAGGATTATGCAGGGTTTGCGCAGGGATTTACGGGCCGTTATAGGGTGATAGGGCGCACTCAGACAGAGAGACAGCGCTCGAATATCTGCCTCCCAAAACCTGTGACCAGTTGTTATGGCTGCAGGTCCGAAGGTTCGCGATGAGATCATCCGCCGTTTCAAGGACTTCTGCACGGTGCAGTGCGCATGTGTCAAATGCATGTAGATGTGCAGCTCGTGCAGAAGATGATACAGACGAGCTTTCTGAGTCAAAGTGGCTGGGTATTATAGCATTGAGCGCCATTGGTTTGGAAACTCTGAAGCCCCCTTTGCCCCACGCTGCCTCAAGTTCGAACCACTTACATAGGCTCTAAATCCTCAAGCCCTTAACCCCTTCGACTAAACAGCCCTAGCCCTATATGTCCAGCTTGCATCCTGGAGGCGGAAGGTTACGAAGGGCTCCAGACAGTGAGCCTGAGACCCTTCTGATGCAGAGCTACTTTGCAGAGCGGGAACTCAGTCGGGTTTAGGATCTGGTCGTTGTGCGAGGCGGTGGCAGGGGCTTGGGGTCTGGGATTCAACGCTTTCGCGGTGTGGGATTGTGGAGGGTTGCAGGTAGACGAGAGGTGTAACGCTGTACATGACAAGCCCATGGGGCACAAGACGTGCCCGCCTTGGGGTGTTAATGTGAGGATGGTCGAAAAGTATCTGTCCCGCGCCCCGTGTATTTTCAGTTGCTGATCGAGAATCCTTCATAGGCCCAGCTACAGAAGCCTGGGTAAGTACTGACTACTGACATCCGTGTCAAATAACCCATAACCCCACTCTAATCTAATTCTTCAGACCCCTAACCGGCCCCAAACCCAAACTCTTTCTGGTACTCCTTACAGCAACCCTTGAAACAGCCTGTTCCAATTCTCACGGCCCCTAGATAATCCGAGTCGCTTTGGTCGGGCTTTTGCTTTTCAGCACTTCCTCGAAGCTGCGCCGGGCTGGAGCGAAACTGTCTCAGCAAGGTTGGCTGCTGAAAAGGCTTCGCGCTGTGCGGTTTGGGTTTAGATTCAGATGGCAGGGGTAGTGGGTCGAAGATGATAGCAGGTGGTAGTGCGTGGTCGCCGGTGACCATGGTTTCATAGCGCGCGACACAGCACTCAACCAGGACCTCTAAACCCTAAACCCTAAACCCTAAACACTAAACCCTAAACTCTAAACCCTAAACCCTAAACCCTAAACCCTAAACCCTGAACCGTACATGCCTCGGTCCACAACGTCAAAGACCCGGGAGTCCGACTCCGACCCCTTCTTCCCAAGCGTCCAACAGGTCCTTGAACCCAAACGCCATGTCAGTAGATTCTTAGAGAAAAGCCGGGCCAAGCCGAAGCATCCCTAAACCATGAACATCTCATGAGTTGTTCCTTCATTCTGAACCCCATTCACCATATTCAGCTCGAAAGCTTTAGGCATCCCAGGCTCTATTAAGCTCATATACAGCCGCTCTAGGCCAGAAACCACGCAAGAAATCCAAAATTCTTCGACGACCACACTTTCGGCTCCAATTGAGCACGGCCCACGGTCCTTTGCCCCTTTGAGGAGTGTTGCCGGACACCCGGAGCAAGCTTCCACCGTTCGGATTTTGGAGCTTTGAGATTTCCGACTTTATGGTATAGCGCACTGGGATACTTGCCGATTTTGTGAGGCAGCTTGTTGTTCGATTGTAAGCACTTCGCATGGTGTGTGTTTCGGGGTGTTTCGGCGCGGTGACGGCCGCAGTCGGGCCTTGCCCCAGGGAGAAGGACGGGGCCGGGGAGAGGGGGTGTTTAGGGTTCAGGGTTCAGGGTTTAGGGTTTAGGGTTTAGGGTTCAGGGTTTAGGGTTTAGGGTTCAGGGTTCAGGGTTTAGGGTTTAGGGTTTAGGGTTCAGGGTGTATATAGGTCACATTTGGAGAGGGGGTTTTAAGACAAGGGAAAACAGGTCGCAGTAAGAACCTCTGACCGCTTCGGCTGGGGCTGAGGCGAAGAAGAAGAGTGTCAAAGTGTCATGTCTGTATAATTACCGTGGTCAGATCTACAAGACTGTCTCGATGTCTTGATCTTAAAACCGTAAACAAAGGCTTAAACCATTGCAGGACAGGGGGTTAGGTGCGAATTCCAATGCTCAGGTCATCCATCCGAGCTTGATCGAAGACATGGCCCGACCAGGCCTTCTGCCAAATGGAATGCGCTTCTACTTCTGTGGACTTTTTAGGGTTACACCACACGAAGTGCAGAGCCCGAAAACCCTGAAGCCCTAACACCGTATACGGCCTTAAAGCCCTACCACCCTCAGGTCCTGGATCCAAACGAGTTTAGGGTTTAGGGCTTACTAAGAAGTGAAACATCAACATAAGACGAATAAAAATAGTACATAACCCCTAAACCCTAAACCCTAACCCCAGAAGCCTTTCGCCTAGTTTCAAATGTTTCGAAAGATTTGTTGGTCTGTGCTCATGAACCCTGAACCCTAGACCCTAA